TCCGCCAGACTCGCTGCTCCGTGGGCGCTCCCGCAGTGAGCGCCCTCGTCGCCACTCCGTGCTTTACACTGCTTTTCGCTGCTCTGCACTGCTCTGCGCTGCTCTGCGCTGCTCTGCGCTTCTCTGTGCTGCCTTGCAGTGCTTTGCATTGCTTTGCGCTGCTTTGTATCGCACTGTACTTGTCCTTGCTGCTGTGCGCTGCTTTGTATGGCTTTGCAATGCTTTGCGCTGCTTTGTGGCACTTGCTTTGCATTGAATTATTTTCATGCCTTGCCCTGCTATGCATTGCTTTGAAATGCAATGCATTGCTTTGCACTGCTTTGCACGGCTTTGCATTGCATTGCTTTTCATTGCGTTGCATTGCTTTGCATTGCAATGCGTTGTATTGCTTTGTATTGCTTTGCATTGCTGTGCATTGCTTTGCCCTGCCTTGCGTTGCTTTGCAGTGGTCCTTACTGCTTTGCACTGCCTGCGTTGCTCGAATTGGTTTGCATTGCGTTGCGGTGCTTTTCCACTGCCCTGCGCCGCTTTACGTGGCTCTGCGCTGCTTTGCGCTTTCTTGCGTTGCTTGCAGTGCTCTGCGTTGCTTTGCTTTACCCAGCGCGGCGTTGCAGTAATCCACGGTTTTGGGCCCACGTTGGGATACAGTCAACCCGAATAGTAAGGATGATCGTCTTGCCAAGGGTACCCTTGCATTCTTGCCTCTTCGGTCATCTCCGGTCCGTTCTCAACCACTTTCGATGGCCAGTCCCGCTCGAAGAGCTTCGGCATAGTCGTCCAAGGCCCTTGCATCCTTATCGCGCATCCTTGCTATATGGGTTGACTGTAGTCATGCTGCTGCTCTGATGTCCACCACTATAAGGGCTTGCCGTTGTCTGTTTCCCCACCTGTTGTAAATGCAGTATCTTTGGGTATATTGCATCCAACCTCATCGTGCAACACATGCATCTACTCAGTCACGCGCCTTTCCCTTGCCCGCTCTGCAGCCATTCCCATGAATATTGCTTTTACAGTCCTACGGTATGGTTTGTTTGATCTCTCTCATTTGTGCTCCAGTTGGCACTCCGTAGCCCGCTTCCACACTCATACGACACTCTCCTAATTCCTATCCCCCAGTCCCATGTTGGTTCTTACTCGCAATTTAATTAATCGCTTCGCTCATTCCGCCGGCCCATATTGTCGCACCGTTGTGGGCTAGCCGAGTTTTGGGGCCTCTTGGGGGCCGTTTTTGGGCCTCTTGGGGCCTCTTTTGGGCCTCTTGGGCGCCTCTTGGGGCGTCTTGGGGGCCTCTTGGGGGCCTCTTGGGGCCTTTTTGGGGCCTCCTGGGCGCCTTCTGGGGCGGAGGGCTCGATTTTTCAGTTCTCGGTTCTCCTCTTGAGCCCCTCTTGGGCCCGTCTTGGGGCCTCTTGGTCCGTCTTGGGCGGCACTTGGGCCGTCTTGGGGGCCCTCCTGGGCCGTTCCGGGGCCGTCTTGGGAGCCTCGTGGGCCGTCTTGGAGCGGTCTTGGGGGCCTCTTGGGCCGTCTTGGAGCGTCCGGAAGCCGAAAAAGCCAGAACGCAAAAAACATAGAAAAAAACAATGAAAATCAACGATTTTGGCCTCTTGGGGCCCTCTTCGGAGGCCTCTTGGAAGGCCCTTGGGGCGTCTTGGAGGCCTCTTGGGCTGTCTTGGGGCCCTGTTGGGCGTCTTCGGGCGATCTTTGGCCGTCTCGGGGCCCTCTTGGACCGTCTTGGAGGCTTCTTGGGGACCTCTTGGCCCGTCCTGGGGCCCTGTAACAGGGCTCCGGCATCTCTGGCCCGACCTTGCCGGGACCTTGCCGGGACCTTGCCGGGGTACTTTTCGCCCGGGGACCCCCAGGGGCCGCCCCGCGCGCGCGAACTAGAAATACTGTTAACCAGGTAGCGGAGATCTTAGCACGCCCTGGCCCGTTGGGCCGGCGAATTAATGTTTCGATGTGCCGTTGACATTGCAATCCCATGCCAATTCCTATGTTTTTGTTGTAGCTGTATCATATTTTTGCCTTTCTCGGAGACGCTTACGGCGAACGGCTTCCCCCCCCCCGCCTTTTTGAAGCGCCTACGTGGCCACACGTTGGACCAACTTCTTCCCAAGCTATTTGGCTACGTGTCCCCCCCAGCCGTTTTGGAAATATTTGGGGGATTACGAATGGGATAAAGACTTGAGGATGATGCTGATGAGGAGGAGGAAGAGTAGGAGTAGGAGGAGGCGGAGGAGGAGCAGGAGGAGGAGGAGGAGGAGGACCAGCATAAGCCCAAGACTCATCAACGATGTTGCAAGACACCCTCCCTCCAAACTCCCTCATCATAAGCCCTTATAAGGGCCACTGAGGGATGCCCCGCTGGGAGACAGGCGTTTGATAATCTCAAAGTGTGCCAAAACACCATTCTCGGAATTTCAACGTCACGAACTAAGCTGATTGTTGCGTCTTGACGATGCAGAATCGTGCCAGAGCACCACTCCTGGGTCAAAACCGCGAACCAACGTAACTGCTCCGCCCTGGCAATCCTGAGTCGTTCCAGAAAGCCATTTCTGGTACGTTAACCATGTGAAGCCGTGAATTTCTTTGCAAATGTGTGGAATGAACGTGGTGGAGGATGAGGAGGAGGAGAATAAGGAGGAGGAGGAGGAGGAGGACCAGGGTAAACCCAAGACTCACCAACGATATTACCCTCTACATTTTCTGTTCGCAGGCCCTGCAATGAATCATTTTCATCGAGGGAGGTGCCTCGTTGGAAGACAACTGCTTGAAAATACAGAACTTTGTCAGAGCACCATTCCTGGGACTTCAACACAGCGTCTTGACCATCCTGTACCGTGCCAGAACACCATTTCTGGGACTTCAACACCGCGGATCAACGTGATGGTTGCGCCCCGACATTCCGACACAGTGCCAACCATCATTTCTGGGACGTTAGCTCGTGGAAACCTTGAAACTGTTGCAAACTGAGAAGGCGAATGTGCAGCAAGGCGCCAAGGCGAGAGCTACATTTTGAAAATGACCCGCCCTCCATCCGTGAAGCCCGAGCAAACGTTTTAAACGAATGTGCGCTGCGTTAAAGCGAGGGCCACATTTTGAACACGACCCGCCCTCCATCAGTGAAATTCTTGCCAGTGCCTAGCTTCAGGATCACCAATGGTAAGGAAGCCTCAGGCGAAGCGCCCGGCCCGCCCTTTCGGCTGGCCTCAGGATGCGACCCGGAGAAGTTGTTCATAGGGAAGAGGAGTATATGAGGATATCTAAGACAAGAAAAATCAGGTGGAGGTGGAGGAGAAAGAGGAAGAATAGGAGGAGGATGAAGGAGAGGAGGAGGTGGAGGTGGAGTAGCATGAGGATGACGATGAGGATGGGGAAGAAGAGGAGGATGAGGATTAGGATGAGGATTAACATGAGCATGAGGAGGATGAGGATGAGGATGAGGATGAGGATGAGGATGAGGATGAGGATGAGGAGGAGGCGGAGGAGGAGGAGGAAGAGGAGGAAACGTCTTGGGGACCCCTCTTGGTCGTCGTGGGGTCCAACTTTGGCGCTTTAGGGCCGCCTTGGAGGTCGGTGGGACCGTCTTCGGGCCATCTTGGAGGCCTCTTGGGCAATCTCGGGGGCCTCTTGGCCCGTCTTGGGGCCCTCCTGGGGGCTTCTGGGGCCGTCTTGAGGCTATCTTGGAGGCAGCTGGGGCCGTCTAGGCGCCTCCTGGGTCGTGTGAAGGGCGTCTTGGGCCGTCTTGGGGCTTCTTGCATCGCCTCGAGGCCGTCCTGGACCGTCTTGAGGCCATCTTTGGCCGTCTTGGAAGCATCTTGGGCGACCTTGGAGGCCTCAGGGGCACTCTTGGGCCATCTTGGAGGCCGTCCTGGCCACCTTGGGGCCATCTTGGTGCCATCTTGAAGGTGAGCATCCTTGCCTCCCTTCTTTTTCTGTATGGCTGGCGGGCAGGCCGAATGCCACTGGCAACCGTTAAGATCATCATCAAGCCAGTAGACACGTGCAGCATTCTGTGCCCCTGCGATAAACATAGGGGGCGGCGTATCTAGCGGCCTTCGGCCCATCCCGCCACTTGCCTGGATCGCGGATGGGAGGCCATCGTGCATTCAGCACGGATTGAAGTGCTCATGGCTCTTACAGATGTGGGTGTAAAGGATTGTTGGATTCGTGAGCGCCCAGATCACCGATTGGCCTGAATTCCTGGACGCTCTTGGGCGCTTCTGGCGTTTCCCTCGGTGGCCTCTAGGAACGGACACCCTCCGAAACCTATTCCAACATTCCCCAAGAGCCTTCCAAGCAACGCTGAACAAGGCTCAGGAGCTCTCGGTGGCCCATTGAGCTCTGTCGGGGGCTTCTTGGGCAACTTGTGAAGCCCTCGAGACGGGCTGAAGAAGCCAGACTCCTTGCAAAACTTGGTAGTCGTGTGGCTTTCGCTTACTCGGCTTTTGGGCTTTCACATCGTCCAAGGCAGCCCCGGAGGCCCCACACACCTGCTCGAGAAGGCCTCCGAGGTCCCCCAGAGGTGCCCAGGAGGCTCCTCAAAGGCCCCCATCGAGTCATGAAGCATTCGAGGGTCCGCGCGCCTGCGGAGCGGGGAGGTCACAGCAAGAGACCCCTCCCCCCAAGGGGGCCCATGGCAAGGGCCCTCCTGGGCCTCGCTGGGCTTTTGTGGGAAAAGCCCACGTCGCACGGACCATCAGCGATCCGATCTGGAAATCGTGCGCGTGGGATTTGCGAGAGGCCGTTCGAGGAACGTTCTTCCCTTCCTCCTCTCTTCCTCCCTCCTGCCTCCTCCCTCCTGCGTGCTCCACCCTCCCTCGCCCCCCCCGCGCCCGCAGGCGGCGACGACCGGGATGACGGCGGCAGGAAGGGCGGCGGGGGCGGCGGAGGCGGCGGAGGCGGCAAGGGCGGCGGCGGCGGCGCCAGGAGCCGCGCTGCTCTCTGCTGCGATGATATATGCCACAGACGACTCGCTCCTTGGTATTCCTTTAGGCACGGGTGCCATGGTCAAACAGTTTGCAATATTTTGTCCCAGGGCGGAAGATGGTTCTGGAAGGACTGCCTGGAGCTATTTTTGCAAATCAAGCGCCCCTAGCATGATACGATAGAGAGAGAGGAATGTGGTATTTCCTCCATTGCCTTGATCCTCTTGAGGTTGACGGCACGCGTCCGTAGCGGTTGAAACTGATCCCTTTGTTCTCCACGCGCCTCCCGGCGGCAGGGCGAACAACTCGGTGTTCGCCGGCGCGGCGTGCGAGGGAGGGGACTGGAAGAAGCGCGACGACGGGCGAAGGCGGGGCGCTGCCCGCGAGCCCTCCGCGCTCCCACCTCTCTCTACCCCTCTCCTCTCCTACACCTCGTTCCCGGAGGAAGGGGGAGGGATGAGCAGGAGGAGTTGGTAGGAGGTTAAGGTAAGGGCTCAGCAGGGTGGCGCATCTCGTGCAGGCCCACATGAGACCTCGCCTCTCCCAGGTCAACGTGCCGCCGAACGTGCAAGTGTCACCACCTCCGTTCGGCCCTAACAGGTCCAGCGGAGAAGCGTCGCAAGCAGATTTCAGTGAGAACTCGCTTTTCTCGAGTGCTGCAAGACGTGCGCCTGTCGCCACTCTCCCTCGCCCCTGCGGCTGCGCCGCGCACAGGCCGAAGTGCGACCTTACCTTTCCCCGGTCCTGCCAAGCTTGCAGTAGTCACCACCTGCCTGGGCCCCTTCGGATATCCAGTGGAGTGGCGCCCTACGCAGGCGTAAACCATATCCCACCTCCCTGCGTACTGCCCAAAGCACAGCCGTCCCCATTGTCCTGCGCCTCTGGGGACGTTAGCGGAGATGCGCATCACGCAGACCCAAACGACTAACACCCGCGCCATGTTTGGGAACTGCCAGGCGTGCACGTGTTGCCACTTTCCCTGCGCCACAGGGAGCCAGCAGGGCGCCTGACGCAAGCCAGATGACACCACTGCTCTCCCGGGTCTTGTCAAACATGCGGTTGTTGCCCTGTCCCTGCGCTCCCCGGGGTATCCTGTGGGGTGGTGCGTAACGCACACCCGCACGAAGTCTTGCTCTTGCTTCGCGCTTCCGAGCGCACAGCCGCCGCCACTTCCCTGCGCCCCTCGGCGCGTCCAGCGTCGCGGCGTCGCACGCAAGCATGACTTTTTCCCAGCTTGGAATTGTCCACCTCTCCAGTGCCCCAGCGGAGTGGCACCTTACCAAGATCAAAAGAGACCTCGCCCCCCCCCGCCCCTCGGGGGTTCTGCCAAGCCGTGCGCACTTTCCTGTGCCCGCTTGGCGTGTCCAGCGGAATAGCGTCCTGCGCACGTCAGATGAGGTCTCCTCCTCTAAGGTTCCAGAAGGATGGCGTTCTGCGCAGATCAAGCGGGGCATCGTTTCCCCCGTTGGGCGCTGCCAGGCGCGAAACTGTCGTCGCTTTCTTTCGCCCCTCGGGGGTCCAGCAGAGGGGCAACTCACGTTGATTCGATTTGGCCACTTCTCGAGAACCCATTTGAGGCCTCGCCCCTTCTGGGTGCGGCCAAACGTGCAAACGTTGCCACTTCCTTGCGCTCCTGGCGGGTCCAGTGAACTGTCGCCTCACGCAGACTCCAATGAAACCTTGCCTTCCCTTCATGCTGTCAGGCGTACAACTGTCGCCAGATTTTCCTCGCCCCTCAGGGTCCCAACGGAGCGGCGCCCTGAGAGGATCAAGCGAAGCCTCCACACTTCGGGGTTGGGGACTCAGCGGAATGGCGTCCTGCACAGATCCAGCCCCGTGATCTTGCCAAAATCACGCTGCGCCATCCTTGGGAGCTTGGGGGCCGCCACGAGCACTAGAGGCAGTCGACAGCTCTCAGCAACGAGGTTCGAGCTCCCCCCCCTCCTCTGGGGGAAGGCCCAGGTCGGAGGGTGCCAGTCCTTCTGCCGCTCCACTCCGACGGCGTCGTCCCCATCTTGTCGTCCTCGTCGTGTCGTCGTTGGTCGAAGCGCCCGCCTGGGGCGCCCAGTGATCGCGCTGCACACCGAGTCTCGCAGACCGCCACCGTGAGGGTGGCGGTGAGCTCGGCGAACGAGGAGCCGAGCGTCGGGTGGACGTGCACGTGGGCCGTCGAGGGCACTTCTTCAGAGCTTTTGATCTCGCTGGCCGAATCTCGTGGGCACAGGCACCAGCGACCCTCGTGTTTCGTTTTTTGTTTGCAGGCTCGCGTAGGGCAGTAGGGGTGCAGCCCGATGTATCTCACACGAGAGAGCAGGGCTGATGCAGGCGCCGCGGCGTCGGCCTCTCGCGCCCGAGGCAGAAGCGGGCCTCGTCGAGCGACCCCGTGGGGGTCGCCCTCTTGTCCTCGCAGCGGCTCGTGTGGACAGAAGCCTTCACCACTCCTCCTTCGCGACCCTCCTGTGCGCTTTTTTCCACACGCTCTCGTGCGGCCAGTGTCCGGTGCGGCCCGTCGGCTCTGCAGTCGAGCTCGCGTCCGCCAGCGCTGTGAAAAAACATGTGCGGACTGGCGTGCGCGTGTGCTGGCGCGAGCGAGCCCCAGGAGTCGAAGAGCCGGCGCGGGCGAGCCCCAGGAGTCGAAGAGCGTCATGCCAGCGCTGGCCAATACCCCAGGATGCTGCCCCATTGGGAGGCACCAGCGATACACCTGCGCCGATCTGGTCCTCAGGATCCGCGTACTTGTACGCCTTCCTTGCTAAGCCAAGGCGCGTATTCGCCGATCGTGGGTCCAAGCTGGGCCTGGCCAGGATCTGTGATGGTGTGCTGTTGGCGTCCTCCAGCGTCCAAGTTGACACCCCAGGCTTTCTCTGTTTGGCTTTGATCAGTGTGCAAGGTGAGTGTGGCCGTGGCGACGAAGGCCTCCAGGGCTTTCCTCAACAAGGCAACGGAAGGTCAAGATAAGAGCCCGCATGGGTGTCCATACGAAGAGGCTGAGAGGGACGGGCTGAGGCGCCCAACTATAGTACATGATCGCCAACGTGGACCCCAAGGAGTAAGTTATTCGCAAGAGGGTTAACAACCCTATGGGCGGACAACAGGGCCGTCGGGTTTTAGAACGTGGCGATGAGCGAGCAGGGAGTCGCAACAGCCAGAGCAAGGTGGACCCCCCTGTGACTGGCGACGCGGAAATAGCAACCGCCAGGACCAGCCAGACCGGAGACCGCGTGGACCAGGGACCGCACCAGGCATAACCGAGCCCTTCGGGCAAGAACCCCTGCCTGGGGAAAACGGTGCTGCAGAAGAGGCGGGCGGGGGCTTTGTGCGGCGCGCCAAGGATGACGGCGTGTGTGCAACAGGCGCATCAGATTCGAAGCCGGCCTGCCAGCGGGTGCCCCACGGAGTTCTCTCACTCCGCGGTGCCACCCCTTGGCAGTTGACAAACATTTCGGGGGAAAGCGCACCCCCCACACTTCTGAAGTGCAGCTTCCGTATCGTATCTTCCAACACGGCAGGGGCCGTCCTTGGAAGGGCCCAGGGGGCTTCTCATCCCCCCAACCCCCCAGGCAATCACCCGGGAACCCTCCCAGGAAGGGCCCCGCTTTCCGAGAGGCCCCTCGTTTTCTTTTCGCAGGCCGCCCCCGGCTCCGCACCACCCCCTGGTGTTTGCGTGCGCCACCGAAGCTGGCGTCCTCCTCCGGGCGGGCGGCGCTCCTCGCCCCCGCTCGTGGCGCTCCTTGACTTCGCCTCCCGCTCGCCCCCGCTCGCCGCGGGGTCGGCCGCGTCGAGCTCCACTTGCCGCGCCGCGCTTCGCCCGCCCTCCTCCGCCTCCTCTTTCTCCTCTGTCCTTCTCCTCCTCCTCCTCCTCCTCCTCTCTCCTCCTCTTCCTCCTCCTCCTCCTCCTCCTCCTCCTCCTCCTCCTCCTCCTTCAACCTTCCCCCTTCCACCTTCACCTTCCTCCGTTCTCCTCTTCCTCCTCCTCCTCCTCTCCTCCTCCTCGTCGTCCTCCTCCTCCTCCCCCTCTCCTCCTCCCTCCTCTCCTCCTCTCCTCCTCCTCCTCCTCCTCCTCCTCCTCCTCCTCCTCCTCCCCCTCCTCCTCCCCTCTCCTCCTCCCTCCCTCCCTCCTCCTCCTCCTCCTCTCCTCCTCCTCCCTCCCCCCCTCCTCCTCCTCCTCCTCCTCCCTCCTCTCCTCCTCCTCCTCTCCTCCCCTCCCCTCCTCCTCTCCTGCTCCTCCTCCTTCCCGTCCTCCCCCTCGCTCTCCTCCTCCTCCTCCTCCTCCTTTTCCTTCCAATCTCTCCTCCTCCTCCCTCCTCCTCCTCCTCCTCCTCCTCCTCCTCCTCCTCCTCCTCCTCCTCCTCCTCCACCCCCTTGGGCGCGCCGCGTCGCAGGCCCGGGGGGTACAACCTGACCGAGCTCGAGGTCTTCGGCGAGGACCGCGGGCGTCGCCGTCCCCGCAGGGCCCTGCTGGCTTGGGGCAGCATGCCCCAGGGGTTCCCGGGACGAGGAGGGGTGAGGATGATGATGGAGAGGAGGAAGATTTAGAATCATGCGATCAAGCATAAGACGAACATAGTATTGGTAAGGCAAATCGTAATGCGAATGATGGAATGCTACTACGAATGCGATGCGAATCGTAGTTTGCGTACGAGTGTTAACACTACACATGGTTAATACCACTGAGAGTACCAGCATGCTAATTCAAATCATACCAAGCGTACTTGGTATGACAGCGAAAGTAACGATGCGAATGCGAGAAGGCGAATAATACGAACACGGGTGCGATTCAGACAATTGAGGACCATTTTCTTAACAATCATACGAATAATTCTAACGATCAGAAGTTGAGTAGTAAGAAGAATAAGAGGAAAAGGGGGAGGACAAGGATGAGGACAATGATGAAGGAGGAGGAGGAGGATGGGGAGGAGGAGGAGAAGCAGGAGGAGGATGCGGAGGAGTGTTGCTGGCCTCCAGATTTTGACTCGTAGACTTGTGTAGTCTCTCAAGGGTGACCTGCCAAGCAGGTCGAGTGACAGATCGTTGATTCGTGTTTCATTTTTGGTTTAAGGTAACACATTCTTTCACCTCTCGTGTCCGCACAGTTGGTAGCGGAGCGGGGTGCCGCCGGGGTGCCATGAGCGCTGGCAGGCCGGGCTGCTCGACGGCTCGAACCTGTTCGGCGTCCGAGTGCTCCCGTCGAGCGCTGTGTTCGGCCAGCGAAGGCGTATGGAAATCCACGGCTGTGCCATGCCAACCGACACAGAAGGCGAGAAGGTGGTTTCGATGGCAGTCATCGATGGCTCAGGTGCCGGCCCGCAGCCAGGAGGTGCGCCGGCGAAGCCAGCATTCATGAGGGACGACGCAACAGTCACCAGGGGCGAGCTTAAGGGTTTGATTTCCGGCATCGTACGGGACGCATTCGGGCAATCAGCGAACTCAGCGACCGCGACTTTCTCTGGAGGTGTTGGCCAAGACCACGGGAATATGAGCGACATGCAGAAGGCGGACGACGACGGCTGGCGGCTGGGGGATCAAGGATCCCTGGGAGACCAGCGACCCCTGGAAGTCCTCCTTTGGCCAGCCTGTCGACAGCAAGAACACCGACCAGTCGTGGCCAGGATCTTGGCAGGGCGGCCAGTTCAGCAGCTGATATGACGGCAGCGACTGGGACGGCAGCTGAGGCGGAAGTAGTGGCGGCGGCAGGGGCAAAAGTGACTACAGCGACCCACTGGCATGGCCGGAATGTCGTCAGTGAAAGTTTGCGCTCCAGCTCTGGGACCTTCATGCCGCCGTCCCCATTCGGCGCCGCGCAGAAAGTTGGTAAACGTGGTCGACTGGCGCTTCGAGTCCAATTCCGACGACATTCCACACTAAACTGTTATATGACAGCTGCATGGAATTAGTGTTGACCAAGATGGGTATGATCATCGGCGAACGAGCTGGTGACGAGCTCAGGAAATTCGGCCGCAAGGTGTTCTTCGAAACCACCACAGAGCCCAATGAGTCGTTGCCCCAGCTCGTCGCGCGTGAAGATGCTCCACTGATCGAGGTAGAGGGCAACGATGTCTCGATGTCGTCAAAGCTCAAGTCAAGGGTCGGCGCGGGACTGACCCCGCAGGGCCTCCGGAATCTGAGGACTTTGGCGCTGAGCGATTCCTCCTAGGACGTCCCAACACAGGTGCCATGCTAGCATCCGACGACGATTGCCAGCCAGGCCTCTGGCGAGCCTCGTCCGGGTGCTCAGTTTTCCTCCTCCCCTCATCTTTCTCTCGGCCAGTCTGAGGTCGGTGGCTATCACGATGACGGCGATCAGGAGCCATGCGGCGAGTATGACGAGAAGCCCAATCTCGAGCGACGCGGACCAAGACGATATCGAGGCCCTGCTCGCCGAGCTGGACATCCTCGACATGGGGTGGGTCGACGACGCGCTCGCGATTCTTGAGTCGAAGAGCACGCGTACTTGTAAGCGCAGCAAGGACTTCAAGCGTGCCGCCCCGGCGTGGCCGTGGCGGCGGACGCGCCCGCATTTCGAATGTCAATATCTGGGGTCTTCGAGATTGAGGTCTGGATTTGCTTCAGAATGTTCTGACCTTGGACACTCTCGCAGAGAGGGTTCCACTCGCGCGCCTAGGTTCGAGGCGTCGCGCGGTGGATACCGTGCGAACGTTGCGCGAAGACTGCCGTGTTCCAAAGGCTGCCATTCGGCGTTGCCCGTTCCTGACTCCTGACGCTGACGCTTTCTAGCTTGGCAGCCGTTCGTATCCCGAGATGTCGGCCGCGGGGGCCGCGCGCGTTCCACAAGGAAGGGCCCCCGATCCTATTTTTCAGAACCAGGACAGGGAGTTCGAGGGCCAGGGCGTCGACGGGGTCTACCAGCGCCAAGCCAGGCAGCCAGAGGACGAAGGTATCTTGGGACACCGGGCGCCGCGACAGAGCGAATCAGCGGGGCTCTCGAGAGCTTAACTACGACGTCTATGCGTCGCGGGCCCAGGTAGCGGGCGCACATGTGGTCGGGGCCTCAGAATCCCAGGGGCAAGCCGATACGTTCTGTCGAGGGGCGAGTGCGGGGCCCTCCCTGAGGGCACTATCACTTGGGTTGCACTTTGTCGGTTCCGTAGCTTGTCTCGGCCCGAGCCGCGTCGGCATTTCAGCGGACCGCGTTCCCTTCTCTCAGAGACGCCGCCTACAAAGCTGCCGGCGCCGCGATTTGGCTTGTGGTGGCCGCCTCAGTCCTCTGGGCCCATCGGCGGGAAGGACGAGCTGGCGGCTCGCGAGGCGACTCGCGCCTATCCGAGGTTCAGGAATGCTTTGCTTTTGGGGCAGCGCGCCTCCGGAGAATCCGATTCAGGCGGACATGGTTGGGGGAGATCTGCGCTGGGTGCGGCGTCGGGGAACCAGGAGAGCGCCGCGAGCCCCCCGCCTCCTCGGGGACCACCTCTGGCAGAGCCCAAGGCGGATCCAATTCTGTGGTCGGCCGCGGCGGCCGCGATGGAGTAGCTTCCCACGGCGCCATCTCCGCCGGCAGCAGCAGATGTGCAGGCGCAGCCTCCACCGCCGTGCAAGTCCCCATTGGCGGACTATCCAGAGCCTCCGCCGCTGACAGGGCTCGCAGGCTGAGTTCACCTTGCTCCAGGACCTCCCTGGAAGCCGCCGCCTATGATGCAGCCGGGGCCCTCGACGCCTCGGGCATCTCCGACAGCGGCATACTCGACGTTGCTTCTGGGGGCGCTTCCGACGCCGGCAAGCGACCGGGCGCCAGCCAAGCCTCCGCCTAACCCCGCTCCAGCGTGCGATCGCCTGCATTGCAGGGCGCCGTTCGCTGCCGCGGCGACTGGCGCGGCGGCGGTTCGGAAAGCGCGCGGCGCGGCGCTCGGCTGGCGTTGGCGCCGCGGAGGTCATCAGCGAGCGCCGGATGGGGGGCGCCTCGTCCAGCGGCAGAAGCGGCCAGGTCGTGGGCGGCCTCGGCTCGCTGAGCGGAGGGCATTCTGCTGAGCGATCAGGGTTTCCGCGAAGGCGCTGCTGCCTTGCCGACAGAGGCAATCTCTCGGCCCTGCCCCAGAGTTTGAGCAGGCAGCTTCATGGGGTGCCGGGGGAGATGCGAGCAATTTACCTTGCGCAAGAGGCCATCGAGCAGGTGATGGCGATTGTCAGCCAGGCCGAGAACGCCCCCGCGCCCCGCGGAGACGCGAGAATACTTCGAGTCGATGTGCAGCCCGCGATCCACGTGCAGCGCCCCCCGTGGGGGGCTCCGGCGAGGTGCCGGACTCCATCGACGAGAACGTCCAAGCGGTCGCGAGCACGATGCGCCGCCTCGGGCAGTCGATCGGGCAGCTGGGCGACATTGCGATGCAGGTGGGTCACGCGGTGGCCCGGCGCTCTTAGATGAGCGGCGGAGCGCCGCGAAGAGACCCCCGGGTGCCGAGCCAAGGGCCCCCCCAGGCAGACGGCCGCCAACAGTGGAGCATCGGGCAGTGCAGTCCCCAGTCCAATCCACCAGCACGGAGCGGACTCAGCCGCGGCATCCACTGCGACAGCCCCCATTGCGACAGCGACAGGTGCGGGGGCGACGCGGTGGTCGCTGCCTCCCGCCCCCGAGTGGCCGACCGTTGGATCCCAAGATTGAGAGGTCGTTCAGGACGCGGCCATCCTTGAGGCTTGTATCGGGGCGTGGAAGCGCCGGCGTTGATTGTGTCTCTCGGCGCGCCTCACTGAGTTCAGCTGAGCTACTTCTGATGCCTGCGCGGCGCAAGGAGTGCATCGGGGCGTCGAGTCTACCGTCGGCGCGGCCCCTGTAGGCCCTGGGCCCTTCCCTGGGGGCTGGCGATCCAGCGGGCCCCGAGTGGGCCAGCGGCGACGTGCGCAACGACGACCGCGAGGTCGCCCGCGGTCGATGGTCTCGCGAGGCCTTCCGTAAGCAGGCGCAGTCCGGCCCCTGGGTCTTGGTCGAAGATGAGATGGGCCGCGGGCCCCGTGGCGCTCGGGCGGCTTTCATGGAGGTTATCTTTTCCTCCCGCGTGGCCCCCGAGGATGCCATGTGCGGTGCCACCGTGGCCGAACGCGCCACTCGGGCACTTAAAGCGCGACGGGCTCGGAAAACGGATGTCTGGGAGCTCCCGCGACTGATCGAGATCGTTGCTCCAGAGATTATCTGGTCATGATCCGAATGTCGGGCACTCTCCGTGGTAAGTCGACAAAAGAATAATCGGATCGACCCGCTCGCGTGACAGTTGTCGTCGGATGTGGGCCTGGGATCTGACCTTGTGCTGGGACATCGTCACGTGCCGACGCAGTACGGGGGCGTCCCCAGGGGGCCCGAAGCCATGCAGCTAGTTGCTTTGTTGGCAGGGGCCAAAAGGCCCAGGGTCGACATCTGTGTCTTTGGACTGAAGAGCAACGATTGAGAACTCGACGAGAAGACGAGCGGCTTCCTGTCC